ACTGTGAATGTTTGTGGAGAAGTTTATATTTTATTATTGAATTTGCAAATTGGTTTCTTAAAAACAATGGGTCGTTCAAGATCAAGAAGCAAATCGCCACGCCGGCATCATAAAAGTAGCAAACATTCTAGGAAGAAGAGTCGTTCCAAGGATCGTTCTTCATCAAGGAGTAGAAGTTCGAAACTTATTGAAAAATCTAGGGAACGTAGTTCTAAATCAAGGTAAGCTACGTTCGATAACACTTGAGGTCTTTTAGTGTTTCATGTGCGGCATTTTAACATATTCTGGTGTATTTACAGAAAAAGATCGCATTCCATATCGTCTTCAACCAGTAGTGACGCTTCATATGATGGCAGTAGAAGTCATAGGAAGAAGTCCAAGGGACGTAGTAAAATGGACGAGGTCGATAGACTAGCTGAAATGGAAAGACAGAGACGAGTTAAAGAAGCAGAACAAAAGGTAAATATTGTCATCTCAAATGTTTTGTATCGGGGTTACTGATAGTTTTAGTACTTTTAATTTTAAATGTAATTCGAAACTAAAGTTTTAACGAACAACTAGGTAAGCATTCCCCAAATTTCCGTTATTGTGTCATTAATTATTATTACTGTAGCCAATTAAAATTACAAATGAGATAAAATATCAAAATGCAAATATCAGTTGTGTTGTGTGTATAACTCAGTTTTTTTTTCTTAGATAATAAAACAGAAGTTTTGTTTTAACAAGATAGTACTGTAAAAATTGATTGAGATTTGTAGGTGACTTTCTGTGCTACAAATTTTAACGACCTCTTATTCCACTGTCCTTTCAGTAATGGTCATGGTCCCCAGAAGAATTTACTACTCGCAATAATCTTATGTTATCCTGTTACTCATGTGTTCATATTATAGTAATTAAACTTATTAATATTATACTAAATATATGTTTATAAATTTTCCTGTATTGTGTATGCATCACTTAATATCCCTAATCCAATAATTTGGTGTCTGATTCAATCTGTTATCCCATTCCAGGTGGTTGAAGAAGAAGCAGCAAAAAGAATAGAGCTGTTAGTGAAGAAAAGGGTAGAAGAGGAATTAGAAAAAAGAAAAGATGAAATTGAACAAGAAGTGGCTAAAAGGGTTGAAGAGGCCAAACGCAAGATGGAGAAAGAAATGATGGAAGAACTAGAGAGACAGCGAGAACAACAGCGGCGCGAGGAACTTGCTAGACAGGTAACTGATTATAGTACATACTAGTCATGTGTACTGGCAACACAACACAATGTTGCATCTACACATGACAACACATACCCTGCGATAGCAACATATGTTGCTCTCGCAGTCTCACACAAGTGTAAATGCAATATTTAATACCAGCATCATAACAATTAGAGAAACTAATGAAAGTATTATTTCGATCATATCTGTTAAAGGTCCAGTCAGGTGTAGTTCGAGTGCTTACAAGAATTACTTTCTTGAATTCTTATTAATGTCACTCACCGAGGCTGGCTGTCTCTGTAATTAATAATTATATTATATACCTACATTTCCATTTTATAACCACATATATTTCATACGCACCTACAAGGCAGAGTTTATACTATTTCCTGCCATTTTGTAAGTTTGCCATGAAGGCGTCCGGCTAGCATTTTAAAATTGTTCGCTTGACTGTCCCTGGCAGTCACGTAGTCTATAAGTCAGGTCGGAAGACTGATCAAGAACAAGAAGCCCTAAGAATTTTATGGAGATGCAGCTTGAGGATCCAGACATGCGAGCTGAAGGTATTTTTTGAATCTATTTTTTGTATAACCACATTAAATGAAGGAAATACACATTTGTATGATGTTTCATCATTAAATATTTTATGACATTGCATACTTATGTTGTTTTTTTCCATTTTAAAATTATTATTTTAGGAAACCAAAACTTCAACTTTTAAAAATCACCCTAAACATGTGATCAACTGTATGATTACGTTATGAATGAAGAAGGCTGACAAATTGAAGTTTACACAAACTGCTGATACAAAGCAATAGTTTTGTGTGAACTATTTTAATGCATAGTGTTGCTTTTATAAATAAAGATCAATATTAACATGGCATTTCTATTATACAGGAGGAAGAAGCACGTAAAAGGAAAGAGTTGGAGGAAATCATGGCAGAAAATAATAAAAAGATTGAAGAGGCGCAGCGGAAGCTGGTGAGTGGAGCTGCAGTGATTACTTGACTAGATTTGCCAGTGTGAAATTTAAAATGATTACATGCAATTAATTTTAATGTGCAAACGTAATTACCTATACATAACAGACCATAAGCACTGCTAGCGCCTTAATGCAAGACTTTTAATTAAGTCTTAATATTTACATTTTGTCTTCACCTAGTTCATTCTATTTTTTACAATATTAAATTACATAATACGTCTTTTCAGGCTGAGGAAAGGTTAGCTATGATTGAAGAACAAAGAAAAATGGATGAAGAAAGACAGAAACTGAAAAAAGAACAAGAAAAAAGGATTAAAGAGGAACAGAGAAAAATTTTAGGCAAAAATAATTCAAGGCCTAAACTTTCTTTTTCATTGAACACACTGTCATGAGGAGAGTTCAATTCTAATAAAAGTTTCTAGATAAAGAGGATCATTTAAAATAAGGTCATAGTTTACTTTACAGGTTTTATTTACCTAAGAGACATCTTTCGTAGCTTAGCTTCTGTGTACATTTTTTTTTTCGATAGACAGGAAGTTTGAATTGATTGGTAGTTCCAACTAAATGATTTCAGTAAACAAAGAAGTTGTGATAGTGCTATGCAACACCAACTGCTAAGCAAAGTGGAAATTTAAATTATTGGGACTATTGTGTTACATCAGTAGCAAAATTAAGCTATTACTAAACACATGTGTGCAATAAATGAATAAATCTTTATGAATTCCAGCATGTTGGTATATCAAAAACATTATAGTCTTGTCAATATATAGAATTTCCAAACTATGTTTATTTGTTGGTGAATCAAAGTAATCGTCCAATGTTGTATAAATTATAAATAATTTATTTCTACTGAAGATTAACAGTTTTGCCTGTCCAACAGTAATATATTTTTGTGAACTGTATCAAGTAATAACTGTAAAAAAATAAACAAATTGTTGAATATATTTAAGAATTAGTCTGAATTAAGTGCTGCAGTTACATTTAGATGACATTTCACAGAGGAGCCTTATAAACTTAAATAGCCTTTCTAATGCAGTATCATTCTTTAGCAAATAAATTATGTCCAGATATAAGTAGAAACTTCACTCAATTTTAAAAGAGCCTTAAAAATATTGTAATACTTAAAAACAAGAAAGAAGCAGAAGAACAATTTAAAACTACATAATTTTAGGATAAATGGACCAACCAAGGTTGTCCTTGTTAAGTTGTTAATGAAATGCAATATCGACATATTATTAACTATTTGAAATATATTACAGTTTTACCAAGTGCCACATAGTATCAAAACTAACATGTACTGTACTGTAGCTATAGCCCTTTCATTTAAAAAGTTTTTAGTTCTAGATCTTATATATATATATATTTCGACAACAATAAACCATATTTTAAACAACTATGAATGTACATATGTTTGTAAATTTAAGATACTTATTTTAAGGTTCATTGAATCATTCTTTAGGATAAATATTTCATTGTAATTGGAATGTTATACTTGTAAATAAGAGTAACATTACAATTATACTTATGTATGTATGTTAAGTTGTACCTACAATGTCGATTTTGTCAATTTTTGTCAATTTTCGATTTCATTAGCAAACAAGTCTCAGCTGTCAAATTGAGATGCTTAGTTTTTTTTTGTGTAACCAGTTTTATTCTGTAATGTTATTTACTTCACAAAAAGAGAGAAAATATTATTGTGTTTTTTAGTATCATCACTTGTTTGACTTCAAACCGGTTTTCTGTAATTTGGTATGTGATGTAATTTGTAAATAGAACATTGTCATAAATGCCAACAAAACTTCCATGTTATCTTATAAATCTCATCCTTCACAAAAATATAGGAACTGTTTGATTGTCCTAACATAATGGTCAGCAGAAATTAACAACAAATCTGTGTACATAAACAGTATCATTTTGTTCTTGTACACAGAATAATCGTTGTTCTTTGTAAAGTATTTAAACCTTTTGTAGTTATTGGTTGGCCTGTTTTGACACGTACATGTAAGTCTATGACTATTTGTAATTACAGTGTAAACTAGAATAAGCTAGGAGTTACGCATTTTGCACAAAAAGATATAGACTTATACAAATTTACAGCTAGTGCGAAAATCCCTCGTAATGTGAATGACTGGTGGATAAATTACATGAAATGTTATTTTTGAATTATGTTGCGACATGAAATTCTTATTGTCGTCTCAACTTTATGCGTATCTTGAACAAACAATATACAAGAGCGTTGTGATGTTTAAAGATTTCATTTACAATAAACATGATGTTGTCCTGAAATTTCTTAGTATTAGTCGATCATTATTCATTTAATAAAATAAAATAAACCCCTTTCACCGATTTATTAGTTTAATTTTTATAACTCAAAAAAAAACAAATTTTACCCTCATTGGTTAGATCAATACTTGGCTTCATTAGTCAATTTTAACGAAAAATGCAAATTACAATATATATTTTTTTCGTCGATAATTTTATCAAGTTTATTTCACACTTCTGTCACGTTTAGAAATTAAGTTTTTAAATTACCCACCATTTAAATCAAAGGTAATAAAGATAGAGGAATTAATAGAGATGAAGTTGAGTGCTAAATGGGAACGATAACGAATAAAATAGTTTCCTGATTCTCCTAATTTAACTTACTATTATGAATAAACTCTACCAAGGCGTAATCATTGGGAAAATATTTTTCTACTCAATTTATTCATTGACAACACTGGTCACGTCAAAGCTGTCACAGTACTGACGTGTCATCAATGTCAAACTAATTCAATTTCCGGTGTTTTATATTATAAACGTAGTGGTTACATACTCTTTGTTATATTACGTGAACTTTGTTCGTAGCCGGTTGTTGTAGTTGATAAGGCAATAAATCAATAAATGTTTTAGATGTATTGAACAAACAATAGATTTATTATTTATTCACTGTTACGATTCCGAAGTGAATAGGCGTAATGGCAGAATTTTTTAAAGGTTTATTGTTATCGGTTTTAACTGAGAAATGTTACGAAGAATATTTCGAGAAATTCAACTTTCTCGATGGTAATTATGTTACATATTTTTTTGCATTGTTGAAATTTGTTTTTTTTTGTTTTGTTACTGTTATTCATGTGTGTCATTATGTTCATTACTTATTTATTTATTTATTTATGTATACGAAGAAAATGTTTATATTTTATATTTCAGGTCCTTGTATGACCGCGACCCTTAGCAAAGGTCTCGGAATCGGTATCATTGCCGGCTCGATCCTTGTGAAAGTTCCTCAAATATTAAAGATTTTAGGCAGTAAGAGTGCAGAGGGCATCAATATTTATGGAGTGTATTTGGAGTTGTTTGCTATCACAGCGAACTTTGCATACAGTTGTGTTATGGGATTTCCATTTAGGTGAGTGTTTATCACAAATTGTTAAGAACTTAAAATAAAAATTTGGATTAAATGGCAGAAATCAAGCATATTCTCCATAAAAATACAAGAACATATTTTTCCACTATAAACACAAAGGGTAACATACATTCACAATAATGTATTATTAAAATTTAATGTATTTTTCAGTGCATGGGGAGAAGGCACATTCTTAGCAATACAAACAGCCATTATTGCAGCACTTGTATTGCACTATGGAGGATCAACAGGCACGGCTGGCCTCTTCTTGGCCACTTATGCAGGCATTGTCTCTGCTCTAGTCAGTGGTTTCACACCCACAGATGTTTTGTGGACCATGCAGGCTGTAAATGTGCCTATTATTGTAATTGCAAAGGTAAAACAGGTTTTTATATGATTAGCTCTAATATCATTTTATAGTAGATGAATGATGTTTGACCATTTTCATACCTACCTTTTTATCTTTATGAAGGTTTAGTTAACATTCATTTTGTGTTAATACTAAATTATAGTATGTGTGCAAAAGTGAAAATATTTTCTATATAAAAATATTTAGTCCTGACGCTATAACCCCAGAACGCAAGAACTGATTTCCACGGTTTCGCATTCGTTGGAAAGGTCTTGAGCTCCATGAGGTTTATAGCAAAGTAAATCCAGGAAATAATTAAACAGAAAAGCCGGAAAATCATTATTTCACATACAGCTTCAACTTTTTGAAATGTATCTGGTTTGCTAGTGTTTTATAAAAATGCCAAAGTAGATTTTTTATGACCAACAAACAAAGATTTATATGTATAAAAGCAATTTTATGAACTTTACATTTTTAACCATGTATTATGGTAATTTGGTAATTTACATTAAAGTCCTATAGTTAGGATTTTATTTTAAATAAAATATAAATAATGGTAATTTATCATAATCAAGTTTTACATACAATTTTATGTGGTTGCTGATATGCAGTTTTGTCACTATATATGAATAAATAATTGCCCCCTAATTCCAGAAAATGGTAAATGACTGACACAAGGACAATTCAAAAATAAACTAGTTGTAGACTAAATAAAACCAGATATATACTTAATAAAACCAGTTTATTGATTAAAAAATATATTTATATATACCATGACTATGTTTTTTCGTTATCACTTATAAAAATGTACCCTGAACTGAGCCATCTGTCAATCTATAAATTTTATTATTTTATTAGTGTACTAATACTACTTTACTCTGCAGCTGCACAATATAGTTATCAATTCTGATTAATTATTAAGATAACTGTTGATAAGAACTCGGACTAGGCAGTTGTTTAATATTGTTTACAGACATTATAGTTAGAAAAATCTTTGAAACCAAGAAGTCTTATTCAAATATCATTGACCAATATTTAATGTGTTCTTTCTTTTCTTTGCAGTCTATTCAAGTAATCACGAATTACAAGAATGGTAGTACTGGACAATTATCAGCGATTACGTGTCTGCTGCTCTTTGGAGGCAGTATAGCTAGAATATTCACGTCTCTGGTGGAAACTGGAGACTTTATTATCATTGTCACATACTGCGTGTCCACTGTGGCTAACGGCGCTATAGTAGCGCAACTCTTCTGGTACTGGAATGTCGGAAAGGGAACTCAAACCAAAAATAAGAAAAAGAAGAAACATGCGTAATTTTTAACAACATTAAATATTTTTATGTGGAAGTGTTAATAAAAACATTTAACCTCAGAATACGATTTTTTATCTGTCTGATTATGAAGGGCTACAAAATTACCTAAATCTAAAGCTCCAAAAATGACTCATTATTATATAATAAAATTGATAAGTAACTGATATGATATTATGATAACAAACATTGCGTTTTAGGGCTGATTTTCCAATAGTCAGACAAATGTTATCTGAGGAATAAAATTGTTGCTGCCACTGTCTTATCAAACATTCTGGCGCGACAGCATCATAGTAATTACCAGGTAACTTTTATCTAACCATTAAAAAATCAGCCTTTAGACGAAATACTTTTTATATTTCTTTAGATAACTGGAACACAAACATTAGCGTGATGTTACAAAGAAATGAATTGTGAAACTGATTGAAAAAGAGTAACCATGGAGTTTCTTGCTCGTTTTTCTCCATAGGAATTTACACTTTGGAAGGAGCAACTTCTCTAGACGACAGACTGGCACGCATAAAGTTAAACCTTCAAAAGTACCTATTGTGGTTTACTTGAAATAAATGATTTGATTTGAAGCTGAACTACTTATTCCACTTACGGCAATTCCTAATATGAAAGAAAAAGCCGTCAGTACCTATTTTAGGATCTTGCATTACGTGAATAATTTCTCAAAGGGAGAGGTGACATCTACATGTTAAATAAACTATCTTTTGATATTGTGAGGATAATACGTTAGTCTCAATAATTGTGACTATACTAACTAAAGTAATTATTAACTTTTGGTTAATTAAAGATTCCATGTTATTTACGAGTATAGTTCTATTTCTATTAACCGATTCATTGCCCATGACGCGCCAGGCGCGTCATAAGGAGATATCACGGGAGGCCCTTGACGCACCTGGCGCGTCATATAGAATTTACTTAAAAACAGATTTTAAAAAGTTGAGATAAAGAGAACTATCATTTCTTATCCTAAATTAAACATTGCAGTTGACAATACCCTTGGCCATTAATTTTGAATACATATTTTATAAGTCAGGGATAGCAAACCTTTGGTAAGTTCACAAACTTATAAGGGGTGGAAGGGACACGAAAAATTTGAATTTTGCGAGCAACCTTAACTTTTTCCTTAATAATAATGATAACTTTTGTTTTGTGTCTATTCTGTACAAAATAAACTATGATTCTTTCTAGAAAAATATTAATTAAAAAAAAAATGAAAATATTCATATAATATAGAATAGAATAAACTTATATTCTTAGAAGATAAAAATATCCGATTTTGTTGTATCTTAGTTTGTCTAAACTAAGATAAAAAAAAAAGGATTTTTTTTACCATAAGACTGTACATTTATTAACGATCTCTCTTTTATTTGTATTATAATTATATTGATATTTTCAAAAATATATTTTACCGAAAAGGTAAAATTTAATTGGCAACAATACTATTATCGCCATCCAAGACAACTAGTCATGTTCAAACTGAGCATAAATTGGAGGTAGTTCGTCTTGTGTATTCAGCACAGTTTTTAAATCTTTTGAGAACAATGCATTAAAATATTTTTTTGCTGCACAACAATCGGGGTCCGACTTATTTTTAATGGGCGACTTAGGTATATCCTTAAATGTTCTTACTTCAAACTTTTTCTTACATTCGTCTTCTTCAGAATCCATAATTTCTTCAATGCTAGTGTCTGAATTATAATTTGTATTTTGACTATTGGTCATGGTACATGGTCCCATTTTACGCTTCTTTGAAATACGCAAAATCGATTGACTACATTCAGGAAAAACATCATTTTCTTTATCGTTATCTTCTTGATATTGTTCATGCTCAATATTAGTGAATAATGCCTCACTACATTCAGGAAAAATTTCGTCTTGCTGATTATCTACAAATAATACGTTTATTATCACAAACAATTGACTTAATACAAATAAATTTACACAATGTTGACGACTCCCGTAACATTTTACTAAAATAAATAAATCCTACCTTGGGAGGCCATATTTCCTTTGAAAACCAACGAATAAGAATTGAAACACACACAGAACTTTTTCTCTTAGCAGATCGACGCTAGATAACGGCGAAATACGCATAAAACATCATAGGGTGCCAATGACGCTCTAGGTGCGTCATCATGTATGTAGGCCCATGACGCGCCTGGCGCGTCATCGTCCAATGTTCGGGGCCTGGCTAAAGTATGCATGAAAATGATGGTGGCAATGAGTCGGTTAACTCTGGGTTGAGATCCAAACAAAAGATTGGAAAAATAATACTTGATGTATTTAACTGTGTATACTGAACTTTTCGTTAAGTTTATGTAATAGGTATTTATTTATTTCTTTTTTATGTTAATACTGATTTGATTTGAACAAAAAACGAGAAAAATTAAGAAATAAGTTCTCGTAGGTACCTCATGCATAAAATTTCCTTTCATCCATCTGCAAACAACAGTTGGATTAGATTCCAGAGCCCAATACGGTGCCGCGAGCCCAGCCTGGAGCAGGAGAAAGAACAGGATGGCTTTTAGTCAGTAAATCTTGATACTCCCTACCGCCTCACCCTGGGCAGGCGAGAAGTCATTTGATGATTTACTCTCACAAGAAAGCACCACGACTCTATTTAGTTCTTTTCGAATTCCGTGATGGTCTTAGCCACTAGGTCCCATGTGGAGGCACCATACATGGCCATGGACTGCATGATTCCCACATAGAGGTGTTGTGTGGTTTTTCAATGGGAAAAAATATATAAGGATTTTTTTAAATAAGACAACACTGTACATTGAAAGTCACTTTATAGAATTAGTTACACCAATTACAAATAAAATAAAACTTTATTATAGTGACTGACTATGCTATTTCATTCCATTAAACTTTGGAATGATCTGTTTATCAAGTGGAAATTGAAATTATAATTAGAAATCCAAATATTTATGCAGTATTTAATTGTTAGTATTTCAAAGTAAACATAAATGCGTAACCGGTATTCTAATCTACGTACATTCACGAAAAAACAGAAAGGAATACATTCATATTGTACTCTATACCTATATTTACAAGTAATCGTAACTAAGAATACATTTTGTAATAAAAATTGACCGTGGATAACTGATGTTAAATGTAATAACAGAATATAAAAAAAGAAAGTTGCAGAAATAAGATATAAAAGATTGATACAATAGATAATCTGCATTTGCTTTAAAAATAAGGTTGCCATTCTCGGAAAGAGATATAGTATTAAAATTCAATTTGTATGTAGTAGATCAGATGATTCACAGTCAATACGTACGTAAGTGGTGTTTAGCACCTAAACAAACTTTAATACCTAACCGTAAAACTAGCACTCTGTGGCAAAACCAAACTCTTGTGATTTTATTCTTTGGGGGCTTGTTGTTCCGCGGGTGGCTTCTCCTCGGGATGGGCGTTTCTTTCGGGCTCGTTTCCATCAGCCCACTTTCCGTCGTATTCTTTTCTGTCCACGTATCTTTCTTCTTCATATTCACCTTCGCTACGATGGCTATCGCGTTCAGAGTAACGGGAATAGCTGTTTAAACATAATATAAAAATTAATAAATATTCAAATAATTAAGAAAAAGTACAACAAATAATTAAGTGTCACTTTAAATAATTTGTGCTCACCTGTCTCTATCTTTGTCTCGTCGCTCTGGGCTGTAGGACCTGGATCTACGTGGCCTTTCAGGACTACGTGATCTTGAATAACGACCGCCTCTGCGATCTCTAAAGTCACGGAAACCACCACCCCTGCAAAAATTAAATCATTTATGATTTATTCTGCACAATAAAGAAATACTAATATATTATTGATTTGTTTTAAAATACATTTAAAAGTTTACCTAAAGGGTCTACCACGGCCACCGCCGCCCCGGCGTGGCCTGAATGGACGACCTCCTCTTGAGCGGTTGTCACGCCATTCTTGTTGGAACCGACGCCCATCATCACGGCGGAAATCTCCGCCGCCACCACGGCCGCGTCCACGTCCGCCACCACCGCCGTTGTACGTGTGGAAGCGAGGACGGTAGTACGTGCCGCGTTCATACCCACCGCGACCTCGCCAGTTTCCGCGACGCACGAAACGGCGGAACCTACGTGCACCATAACAAAAATGTTGAACTACGATGTCTAACTATAATAACACAAATAATCACTTATCATGTAAATGATTTTAATAGCTTTTGTTTAGTAGTCAATAATCATCATGCTGTGAAAGGATTCCAGGGTTAAAAAAATAAATCTATAGTCAGACTTTTAATTCGATTCCTGATTTGACATTGACCACTGTCATTTTGTGAAATAATGATACCACATATAACAGTGTATAGATGAACACAAAAATCGATAAACAATCAGTGAATCAGTTTCAGGAAGGCATTCAAAAAATTACGGCTACCGAATGGTCTAAATGCGTATCTCATGTTGTCAAAATAGGGGAAAAAATTAGTAAGCTAGATAGGTTAATTGACAACAAAAATCACAGACACAATTTATAATAAATGTTACAGAAAGTAACAGCGATAGCGATAGCGATGACGGCTACAATTTATAAAATTTCTGTTTTATTTGTCATGTTCCTTCATGATCACATTTTTTATTTATTTCACACACAATTACAGAAGAAAAGTCTCAGATCGTTAATTAATTGTCAAAACTAAATTATCGGATCAGAAATATTTTATTTCCTGATAAACTTAGTTTACGAGATTAAATTTATAAACGAGAGGAATCGATTCAGAAATATTCGATTTCCACATCGAATAATTTCGCAACGTCACTATTTAATACGTGTCATAACGTTGCAACACTGAAATTGTCAAATCTGGAATGGAATTAAAAGTCCGAGTATAGTATCTATTAATCTAGCAGATTTATAAAGGCATTATAGCATTTATTTAATAGGCAATGAGAATAAACTGAAAAGTAAAGCATACAATTACAGGGATAAAATAAAACACACAACAGCAAAAATACCTTGAGCCAGACCGTGATCGAGATCTGCTGCGGGAGTAGTAGGAGCGGCTTGCGTCGGAGCGAGAGCGGGAGCGAGGCGAGCCCGAACGACGGCGCCGCGACGCCACGGAGCCACTCGCACTCGATGCTGACCGCGACCGAGACCGAGACCGGGATCGGTACTTACGTGGTCGCGACCTAACAAATGCCGAACATTATAGGACAAAGATTCCAAAATAACTTGATGTTGAGTTTGGGTTTCTGGCTGTAGTTAATAAATTTATTAAGAAGCCATGTTACTTTATACTAAAAGAGAAATATAAAATGTTACCCACCTGCTCCTAGAACGCTTAGATCTTCTATCGTCATCAGAAGAGTTAGATGAATGCCTTCTCGGTGAAGGTGGTGAGCGTGGTCGGCGCCCTGAAGGGGAAGGTGGTTTGATGCGCGTCACAAATTGTTCTGGTCGTCCATCTCCCACAGATACCGGAGTTTCACCCTCTTGCGCTAGTCGGAATGAACCAAACTTGTCTAGGACTATGTTGCCTTTACGGACCTGAAACCATGGATATACATATGTTTTAGGCGAATAAAATAGTAGTTTCATGGCTATAACCTGAGGTTGACATTGTATGAGCTAGTAATAGACTTTTAAATGTGCACTTACTGGATGTGCAGGCTCGGTACCGGGCGGGTCCGGCTCTCGCTTGTTCGGCGGGGGCGCAGACGGCAACGGCGGTGGTTCCTTCATTGCCATAGCCCTACGTACCGATACGTTTTTATCGCCACTTGACGGAGATGGCTGAATCAAATTAAATATAATGTTGTTAAAAATAGTATAATCTAAATTCTAAAATTGGGATATTATAGGAAATGTACCAATAATGATAAGAAAATATAATATGAATGGATAATAAAAATATTATATGATATATAATAATATATCACCTTATTATTCTCTTGTGAATCATCAGAGCTGTCTTCAAATGCATAATGTTCTTTATAACCCTTTGGTACTGGCGTTTCCTTCTTCTTGACCCTGCAAATATACAATTTTATTTTATTCTGCGGTTTACACTTTCACTTGCTTATGCATATAAAAATTTAATAATTATTTGAGATTCCAAAAAAACCGTGTCAATTAATAATTCTGTGCTAATTGTAACAGTCAAATAAAAAGGAGGCCGGATTTATTAGCCTGTTTCAGAATAAAACAATATTAACATTGTTAGAAAAAATAAAAAAGCGCGGATCTCTAAAATTGGACATGGAGCCTGTACTACTGGACGCATGTGGCGGTGAAGTAGGTAAGGCGTGAGGTAGGTGGCGCGGCACGTACGTGTCTTTGACCGCACTCATGGACATCTTCCACTTGGGCTTCTCTAGCGGCGGCGGCGGCGCCTGGTCTATGGGGCTGAGCGAGCCGCGCCCGTCGCGCTTGTGCAGCACCTCCTTCTCCACCATTACGTGGTATGCGCTCAGCTTGGACTCCAACTCCTCGAGCCCGTGCATATCGTCTAGCATCCTGATAAATACACATTTAATAAATAAATGCTCACGACACAATTCATTGAAATACAACAAAAATATTTGCTGTGTTCTTTTACACAATTTGCATAAAAGACAAGTTAGTGAATCAATTTAAATATTAAGTGTGTTTATAAATAGGCTACGGTACCAATGCAGGCAAACGGATTTCTTTCACGCATTACATAACGCATTTAATATGGTTAACACACGAAAAGTAATAGCAGCTGCATATCTGAGTGGCAAAGATAAGTAATAATTATTTTGATTCTCGCTCTACATACAATTATAAAATGTATAATTTGTAGTTTGGTAGGTTTGCGCAGTTAATATTTATTTCTTAAGATTATTATATAACAGGCATCCATTATTTGACTTATACAATTAGCGGCGGCAATAAACTAATGATTTGCTATTATCTTACATTCATCAATGTACTATGTCTTGTTACCTCTTATCGTGTTTTCTATCATATTCGCCGTCCGAACTAAGGTCTCGTTTCTTACTCTTCAACTCTTTTCTGTAACACCAATTAATTAACCGATAAGTGTGAGAAAAATCTAGGAACTATTTTCTACTTTACTTTAAATATTTACTAGGAATACTCAAATGGTTTCTTAAAGTTTAAGGGAATATGGGTTACTAGTTTAGTGCACTTGATAGACAAGTGACGTACCTTAAAGCATCTCTCAGTTTCTTGTCTCCAATGCTGTCCAGATCGCGTAGACTGTATTCATTGTTGGCTGCAGCGCGCGCTAACTTTGCTTTTCTCTTATCTTCCCTTTCCTGTTCCTTGCGTTTTCTCTTAGACTCCTTTTTCTTCTTCCTATAAAATATATGTTGTTTATAACAAACAGTTATATTCTCTGTTTTGAAGTATTATTTGTAATGTTAGTCTTTATTCAGTAGTGAATAATTTCTTATCACAACTAAATAAAGACTCATCAATCTTAGTATGAACAAAGAGATTAGAAGGTATCAGTTTTATCTTTCCGCATTATTTGATTTTACAGCTTTCTTTTATTAGGAATATAACAATTACTAAATGATGAATGGTTAATTTCATCTTGAGGTTGAGCAAAGTATATTTTAAGGCAAAAACAGTAGGCAAGCCAAATTACAAAAAAGCTTTTTATCATCATAATTAATTTACAGTGAAGCTTATGACTTTGCTCACCCCAAACAGAACAGATCAGTAAAGGGTACCGACTTGTCTTTCTTCTTCTTTTTCTTCTTGTCACGATCAGCGCCAGGCTGTGACTGCTGACCCAGTTCCTGCATCTTGCGGTTGCGCTTATACTGCGCAGTTTCTTCTAAGAAATTCCGGACTTTATCTTCATAGTCTGAATCTTCTTTGGTCATTTCTAAGAACTTGCGCACCTGTGAATTAAATGTAGGTCTTCTTATCATCAATGTTCATAAACAAGAAGTTTGTTTTTGTTGAATTAAAAAAATCATACCTTTAGTTCATAATCGATATCTGCTTGAGACCTCTGTGGCTCAGGGTTAACTTCTTCAACAGGGGGTGGGGGCGGCTGGTAGCCGTACGGGTGGTTGAACTGGGAGTTATGAGTGCGAGACCCGGCCTCAGGCGCGCCGAGCATCTCCATGCGCTTACTCAGTGGCGACAATGAACGCTGTCGCTTGCTGTTAGGCTGAGACCGACGCTTCTTCTTGCGATTAGGTCCTTCAGAATCTGTGAAAAATCATCATCAAATCATCGTTTTAATGTCTATTTTAATACAAACTTCCTAAGCATGCAAATTATCAATATTAAAGTGTTTATTTAAAATCTCTATCATAAACATTCACACATATTTGATGAATAAATGTTCTTTTAATTTGTTAGTTTGTGAAAATCTAAGATAATTATGTAGGAGATCTATTTACAATAAGTACTTAAGCTAAGTGTAAGTGCATGGTATGGGTCTTGGTAAAGTTAATTTATAAGTAAATAATTTATGTGCTGTTGGACGGATATGTTTAAGATCCCATTGCCTGATTGTAAAAGCAGCTTTGAACATGCTATTTTTTAATAAGTTATAAATATAGGATATATATACCAAATTGGCCTCATGGTAGACTTCTTGGCTAAGTGTAATGCTGAATTAAGGTTTTAGATAATATATCCACACAGTATCAAATATGTTTTGTAGGATAATTGCTACTTGGATCAGTCAATAACTATTAATTTCTCATCATAAATATATTTAAAACATTACCACTTGTTTCAGATGACGACGACGAGGAGTCCGATGATGAACTGGAGCTTGATGAGTCGGATGACGACGATGAAGAACTGCTCGATCGTTTCTTCTTACCCTTGCCGCGCTTCTTTTTCTTCTTCTTATCTTTCTTATCAGTTAAATTTAACAACTGCTTCAATGTCTCTTTCATCTCGTACGACTTGGCCCCAGTCAGTCCAGGCAGCAACAATTCAGCTGGTTCAATTAACGGCTTGGTTGTGGACGTCTTGCTCTTCAAGAAATCGAGAGAATTTTGCGCCTCTTCATGGAATGGTATTATAGCTAAACAATCTTCATATGCTTTTTGTGCCTCAGTGATCTTGTTTTCGTCTTCGTAACTACGGCCTAATGCAACTAATGTCTCTCCTAAATATTTTCTAGCATTAGCGTGGTTGGGATTCAATTTCAAGGATGTTTCAAAGTCTTCAATAGCCTTCTTAAATGTTCCACTATTGGCATAAAGTGCTCCCCTTGCTACTAATCCCTCGACATTTCTCGGATCAATGCTCAATGCTTTATTTAGACACTGGAAAGCTTCAGAGTGACGCCCGGCTTTAAAATGTTCTATACCTTCTGCAACTGAACGGAACGCCCATTTGCTGGCTTGCGCTTGACGTAGTTCATCAGCATATTCTGTTGGTACAAATCCTCCCCTGTAATGAAAAGTTGTATTATTAGAATTATGTTCGAGTTTAATAGAGTATAAAATTTTAGAGCCAAAGGTATTCAACTTACCTCAATGATGGAAAATTGGTGCAATGCATGTTGGAGATTCCAAGCAGTTCAGAAAGATATTGGACGCAGTTGGGGTTATTGAAGCCAGGACTCTTCTCCAATATTGCTTCATAACTCTCTCCCTTCATATCCACAGTTTTCCTGCAGGAAATTTATAAAAGTAAGCAAAGTGGAAATGTGTTAAAGTAAATAATGTCCTTTTATAATGGAGAATTTTCATTGAGATGAGAATAATATCTTCAAAGAAGGTTTTTATATAGTTTCAAGCATTTAATTCATTCCTAAAGTGTTTGCTTAGTGTCACACATACGTTTATCCTCACCTGTTCCAATGGAGCTGTTCAAAAAATGTTATGTTACTTGTATTTTATTTCTTTCACACATAAATATAACATCATAGATTAGGTGATGCCGCCTCGACAATGTGACATTAATATTACCGGGACATTCACTAAGGTCACAACATAATTCAGTAGTAGGTGTGACACGTCTTGAAAATCGTCGCTATACCTAGAAAAGAACACCCTAAAATAATACAGGGAGTGTACATCCACTGGTGTGGAAGGCATGTCGGACACAACGATGTGAACTGCCACGCTATCTTGTAACTATTGAGTTATCTCGCAGAGCCTCACGTCAATCTGCTAAATTGATAAGCGCCGGGAGCGAGTCCTTTATAATAATAAATAACTCCAACATCCAATAAATGTTCATTATAAAAGTCCAATCAAAACGTCTCAGATAATGCTGGAATGTTAAACATTAGCTTTAATACAGAAAAACATGTTTCCAGATATAAGATTGAAGTGACCCTAAAACAATATTTGTACTGACCTTTTCCATTTTATGTCAAAAAATAAAAGATGTGTAAATAATTTGAATACTTTGAAAAGTCCTCAACATATATGTGCAGGAATCTCGTCGAAATATATATTATAAACATCCTTCAAGAATCCCTTGGTTTGTTCACACCAGATCAAACTTTGAACAATATCATGCAATCTTTTTCACAAGTTGGTGAACAGTGTGACTGTACTGAAAAGTGATCATAAACCAGTGAAAACATACATCCAACACTCCTGCTGTTACACTTACACAAATACCTACCAAGTGTGTACACATTTTTCAAATAGCTGAGTGACAGTTGACAACCACAATCTGTTAATATTAACGAGTTTCTAAAAAACCAGAGGTATTCTTGAATTCTTTCCACATTCTGAGAATTTAATAAGCATATGATAGTGTTCCATTTTCTTGAAATCCCATTAATTACTGCATTTTATGTTATTCCTTTATTATATATATAAAGGCTTTTTCAGATGTTAACTTTCAAATCTCTTCAGTCCTTAACATTCTGCCAAGTTCATAAATGTCTTCCAAGTACATATATTCCTTTCTTCCAATAAATAAAAAAAATACCACTGTTTTTGTAGTCTCAACAAACAACTGTACTACAAATAAATACATGAAAACACTATGTTTGTGTCAAGCAAAAAATTGAACCTGTAAAATAGTGTAGGGACAATGTGATTACTCAAAGGTGTGTTATTGATTAAGTACGTACTTGTAGATGAGTGGGAAGTCATCAGTGCTGAGTAGGCCCAGTGGTGGCTTAGGTGGAGGGTCATCCGAGCCTCGCGTCACACCCTTCATGCCGCACACCATTTTGTCAGTGTCAGGGATAACTTCTATCACTTCACAGCATACAGTGTCATTCATCAGGTAGTTTCTTGATATGTTTTTCTTGTCCACAGCAGGTATGATATTTGTTACTGGTAAGAATGCCTAAAGACAAAATAAAATTTCACTAATTTACCATGTCAAAGTAAATATTTGAAAAAAAAAAAAAAAAAAGAATTATTTCTCAATTGGTTTGCAATTGTGGGTTTTGCCATCCAAAGACTCAGTAACAATAACACCCACATAAATATAGCAAGGCTAACTATTACAGACACACAACTTGAGTTCTGGTTTTGTACAATGTGTGGGTGGCAGCGGTCATCATTTCTATGTGCTTATATGGACTGACTATATTATATTGCCATTCCAAGAAAAACTGATGTGACTCTTTTTATAAGATGCGGCAAGTAGTTGATCAATAGAAAAAACTGCTTTCTTAATATGAAATGTGTATTAGTGTGACTGGGAAAAATCATCTTATCACATTAATTTTTAATTATATCTTAATAAAAATAAATTTCATAATATTGTGCAATACCTTCACATTGATGTCAGCTACATATCTTGATGTTGGTCCCGCAGTGCATAACACCTTTAGCATCATACCCGATGTAGTCCTGTTGATGACTGCTCCTATAATAAGTTCACCTGTCTTCACATTCTGAAAGAAAAGAGAACAACATTAATATTCAGCATAACTACAAGAAAAAATATTAATTGAAAGTAATGATAAAAATTGTGACTATAATAATGTCAACTATACTAGACCCATTTCACCACCTACTTAATAAACTTATGAGACATCCTATTCTTATTATGAATACAAAGTTTTCAAGTATTTATGAATTTTGATTACTCTTTCACATAAAAGCTATTGAATAATAATATACTGGAATTAATATTGGCATTGAGATAGTTTGTAGTCTGGAATAATACATAGGCTACTTTATCTTACTTAAGTTAATATATCTTAAGTTAATTTCAATATTCTAATTTATGTAGTACATACTTACACCCGGTTTCTGAAAGGCCTGTCAACACTAAAATTAACTAATCTCCTGTTAAATCTTTTGTCAAGTCATCTGATTGGTTGTTGATATTTCAGTCAACCAATCAGACAACTTGACAAGAGATTAAATTGATTTTAACATTGATTGGCCTTTCGGAAACCGGGGTTTAGAGGCTATCCAGACATTATAAGGCAGGTCACTAACTATTATTGCTGTATATTTCCTTTGTATTTGTTGCAGCCTATTAGCTTTATTAAATTAACATCAATAATGACATCATTAAACTTTCTTACTGTAACGGGAAAATAATGAGTTGCTAGGATAAGAAGAAATGAGGTTTAAGACAATTCTTTCACCTTTCATATAAAAACTTGAGTGTACAATTTGTTTAAGTTGCCAATTGGTTGTATGTGATTTCTTATTCATAATTTTGACAATACTTACATCAAAGAAATGTCTCAATCTTGCTGACTTGTCTACACTTAAAAATGTTTCAAAGGGTGGCATCAGAGCATATAGATCTGAAACAAATATTGAAATGTGTTAATACAGATAAATTTAAATAAGTTAGAGAGCAGCAGTAATACAATTGGTTAAAGATTAAGTTTACTTGGACATATTGGAATGACCAGAATGTACTTTGTTAAAAAAATAAGGATATAATCTTTCAAGGTCTCCACCATATACAATTTTTTTTCTTTCATTACTTAGGCGTAATTAAGGTATCTTTAATACTATTATTAGTGATAGTTATTTAGAAACACCAGTTATTGATTAGAGCTACCATGGCAACATCCAAAATCTAATTTCATGTACAAGGGGTCTTTTGCAGTGTAGTGACTTATTCAAAATGAAGATGATGATAACTTAAACTTACTATCTTCTGGTACAGGCGCGTCCGTTCCAAGGCTAGAAGACGAAGGTGTTTCTTCCATAATTGAACTATCAAACAAAGCGTTAGCCTCTTTAACAATAAACTGATGTAGTTTCAGACGTTTTCCTCGATCTTGGAACGTCAAGTGCTTGTGTCTTGACTGGTATACAGCGAAATCCACAGCGCCCACGCCAATTTTTGACAAGTCGTCTTCCCCTCTTTCTGCTTCCCAAGTTTTCTGCAATTGCTGTCCATGATAATTTATGGACTGCGTCACTAAGGACGCATCCAATGATGTATCCATGTCACTGTTCTGTAAAAAAACAACAGAAAATAAATTAAATTGATTAGCATTAGATAATTCAAATCTTACCTCTAAACTCAATGAAATTGAAAGTGAGTTTCCGAAAGCCGATCGACGCCATTTTGGCAAATTAAATCCTCGGAATAATTCACGATGTATTCGTAATATTGTTAATTTGAGTGCTAAAAGTGCTGCTTACCTTGGCAAACTCGCTTAGTTATATTTTGCGTGTAAATCTGTGTAATATATTTATTTTTAATTGAAATAAGGAACACTCTCGTGAACCACATTCACACTCATGTGAAATGGCGACGAACGAGTGAATGAATGAATGGAAATGAACTATTTATTTACAATAAATTGAATGAGTGAACAAGGAATGTTGAAATATCTGTAAATACAAGGCTTTTTGCTTATTAATTTCTTTCTACAGGTCTTTTGTTTTCGTTAGTCCACAGCGACCGCCGACCGTTAGTCAGTACCTTCTGGTGACTGTGTTAATTATTTCTGTGACCCAAGTAATGACTTGGGATAAGATAATATGTGAAAAATTATAATAATAAAAAATATTAACAAACAAAGCAGCTTGTGGCGAGTTGTTAGGCAATGGCGACCCCGCGGACCTGACTCCCGGGAGGTGTTTTGTTCTTCATCTCCGGTTAGTAATTCTGATGAGCTGGAGTGAAAACTGATGAAGAACAAGCCTTCCTACCTCATTCTTGCCTTAATTTGCTGGCTTGAGTGGAGATTCGCAAGATTAGGAGCTGAAGGAGACTCGGGGGAAGGATGTATTTCAGTAAGGTGCTGGTAGGGGTCTTGACCGTATTATTTCCGGGATTGTTCTGATAGCCGTGGGATGCTTCTACTTCCCCACGCAGCTCAACGTATGTTGCTCCGTGTCACTACATGCTAGCGGCCGTTTCCGGGGGCCCATTAATTGAGTGCCAGTCTCCCCCGCCTGTTTATCCGTATGTATCAATATTGTTTAGGGGCAGGGGCCCATAGTATTTTCATAGTTATGATATTCACCAGTCCATAGCAACCCATACCCATAACCGTTTCAATTATTACCACATTTCGCAATAATCCTGCATCAACCGGGGATTACCCTTGGGTGCACTTTCATAGTGCATACAGGGATAATTGCCGGCTGATGTCCCATTTCACTTAAATTTAAGTTTTATGATTTGGGGATTCAGGGATTCAGGGACGGACCGGAGGCCCAAGCCTTTTCCTCCTCCAATCCCTCCTCCTCACTCTCACGGCGAAACACAACACTGTGATTGTTTCACGCCGGTTTTCTGTGAGGCCGTGGTATTACTCCGGTCGAGCCGACTAATTCGTGCCAAAGCATCAGATCTCCCACACCTAAAAAAAATATGATTTAACTTGTAAAATATGCTTTATTCTCACTAGCATTGAGCTCAAATAAGCATACTGGCAATCCGAAAAAAATCATAATCTTCATCATCAGCCTATAAGTGCCCACTGCTGAGCAAAGGCCTCTTCTCATACGGAGAAGGTTAGAGCATTAATCACCACGCTTGCTCAATGCGGGTTGGCGATTTCAAACTTATAATTAGAAATTATAAGTCCAGGTTTCCTCACGATGTTTTTCCTTCACCGTATGTCAGTGGTGTCTAAATAACTAATTACAGAAAGTACATATAACGCGGCAAAAGTGATATTGGTACTTGCCAGGTTTCGAATCCACTCCCTCATGCATGAGCAGCGGGCTGCTTAACCTCCGGGCCACCACGACAAAAAAATACTCCTATGTAAACGTTAAGAAAAGATTTGTTTTGCGGAGGCCAAACGCCTCCTGTTGCATTTGGGGATCGTGCGATCCATAGCCATCTACGAGGCTCTTGTGCGGGCTTGAGACAGCAGCCAGCTGGTACGCTCGTCTCGTCCCACTGGGCTATGGCCATCAGCATAATTAGCGGCTATCGCACGATCTCTGGGGAGACGGCGAATCTCCTTGCCGGATTACGCCATGGGATCTGGAGGCGAAGGCACTTAAGCCATCTGCTGTTGACGCGCGTCGCCAGGGCGAAAATTCGTTGCTGTGCGTGGGGGAATAGGCTCCGGCATGATCTCATGTCAGAGTGGAAACAACGTGGGTCGCAATCGAGGGCAGGGCACGCTGTTATAGTAGTGGTAAGACCCCTCTTTGAGGAGTGGCTTGAGAGACGCCATGGCGTCCTCACCTTCCACCTGACGCAGGTGCTTACCAGGCAGCTTCTGTAGGTTCGTGTTTTGGATCCGGTGAGAGGAAACTCTCGGGTGTCTTCATTGTGAGGACCACCTCGAAGATATGGTGGAGCATACGATGGCGGTGTGCCTCGCTTGGGCTGAATACCGTCGTTTTGTTAGGGAAGTGATCGGCGGCGGCGACCTCTCGCGTCTGGCCTTAGCCGAAGTCATGGTGCAAAGCGAGAAGAACTGAGAAGCCGCCTCCATTTTCTGCGAAGTAGTCATGATCGCAAAGGAGGAGGCGTAGCGCGTGAGTCAACTCCTCACGCCCCAGCCGCCGCATTAGGCGATACTCCGGGCGTCGGCCGATGTTCAGCTAGGGTTGCGGGGCTAGCGTAATAAGGTACCGCGGTCTCGGCCTAAAGCAGGAAAAGGAATGGGGAGGTTTTTAGTCAGTAAGCATTTTTCTCCCTGTCGCCTCACCCTTGGTGAGAGAACTCATTTGATGACCTTTACTAAATCCCATAGAACATGTTTGGGACATGAGTAAAAGACGTTTCCGATACAGTCCCAACCATGCAGAGACTATAGGACAATCTAATGGCCGCCTAGGACGACACGAATCACTCCAAGTGGATAATAAAAACATAATCCATGGCATGCCAGTCCGCATGTAGGGGGTCATCAGGGCCAGAGGTGGAAACACCCGCTACAAAGCTTTAATTGAAATCATTGTTTTGTAAAGTTTTTGCTAAAGTTAACTCACTTTTTTATTAATTATAATGGTTAACATATAAGATCTGACAACACAAATTCCCTGTTTCGCTTTTTATTTTGTTAATCTATACAAATATAATAAAGAGAAAAGGTTTGATTTTTTGTTTGTTTGTTTGTTTGTTTGTATGAATTGAATAGGCTCCGAAACTACTTGGCAGATTTGAAAAATTCTTTCACTGTTGGAAAGCTACATCATTCCTGAGTGACATAGGCTATATTTCATTTTCAAAAAAAAATAGGCATCCTTACTAAAATTACGATAACGTAATCCAAGGTGTGAAAAAAATATCAAAAAACTACCTTACATCGCGTGCGCTGCGAAAACTATTGATGATAGAACAAAATGATATACTACATTTTTTTAGAACACACCATTATCTACAAAAAATCAGCGGCAGCATATCTCTAACTATTACAGTCATGTCACAATAAGCGTTTTTTTTATTGAAAAAAAGAAATTAAAATACCACCGCTACAAAAAGCTCTTTATTTGTACCTTGGTATTAACCCTTATCAAAATAAATGATGTATTATTTAAGACTGCTTCAATATCTTTATATTACTTTTTGAATTATTCGATTCTGACAATCCATTCAAAAGATATCACGAGTTAAAAAAAATTAAAAAGCAAACTGTATTCGGCTAGCTATGCGTTGTAGGCGTCACTCGGGCAGGGGTACGGGATCACTTCCCTGAGGATACGGCGGTGCTCAGCCCAGGCAGGGCATACCGCTACCGTATGCTTCGCCGTATCCTCTAGGTGGTCATCACAATGACGACACTCGGGCGTTTCCTTCCGCTGGATCCGAAACAGGAACCTACCGAAGCTGCCGTGCCCGTTAAGCACCTGCGTCAGGCGGAAGGTGAGGACGCCGTGGCGTCTCTCAAGCCACTCCTCAAAGAGGGGTCTTACCGCTGCTATAGTAGCGTGCCCGGCCCTCGGTTGCGACAGTCGCTGCTTCCACTCAGCCATGAGATCTCGCCGGAGCTCATTCCGCCACGCACTAATTTGGCGCGGCAGAGGATCCTCGCCCCGGCGACGCGCGTCTGCGCGCAAACTGTAGACGCGCGCGAGCGCCTTCGCTTCCAGATCCCATGGCGGTGATCCGGCAAGGAGGTTCGCCGCCTCACCGGAGATCGTGCGATATCCGCGGATTATTCGGATATTATTATTATGAATGTGTTAAAATTAACAAATCTAAATGTAATGTTTAATGCCCGTGCGAAGCCGGGACGGGCCGCTAGTTAACAACATAGCGCAGTTAGGCCACATTCCGTGCCGCTGTGTGAATTATGTTTAGCCAAATAATATAACAACATATCATCAGCCTAAAAGTTGAGTGCCCATGATTGGGCAAAAACTCCTTCATCACACTCACGCGGAAAAGGTTTGAGCATTAATCTCCATGCTTGTTGCACGAGTGATTTCAAAGTTATAATTTCAATTTTTAAGTCTAGGTTTTCTCACCGTGGTTTACTATCACCGTCTTGCCTAAATACACTTAGATACTACATTTATTTTAGGAAAAGTCACATTGGTATTTACCAGGCTCCCAACCCGCACACTCAAAATTGAAAAGCGGGAGCTTTAACCTCCCGGCCATCACCACAAACCCTGTTTTAATAGTGTAACTAACTTATTTTAGTGACAGTGAACACAAGTCGTAGAAAAACATTTAATTATATTTTTTAATTTGTGTTAAAAATGTGGTATAATCCGGACAACCTTGCTGCAACCACTTTTATTACTACGCACACCGTCACTTAAACCATGGAAGTTATTTTATGATATGGAATATATATAGATTTATAAAGAAATCACAATTAATTGGTATTTAATATTAGAGTTAACACAGGTCACGATGAACACTTCTGTGGATGCCATGTGCCTTATCGAAGTGATATAAATGAATCAATGTTTTGGTATTGAAAGAATAAGAAAAAGGGTACACCACATAACTTGACATATCATTTACTTATAACATTACTACTATATACATATTACTATATACATTCATTGACTTACACACCTGTTGTAAAAAAAAATGATAAAAATAATTTCGTTTTAATTTGACTCGGTTAAGGTTTCTAAATTTACGTATGGACTAAAAAATTTTAAACTTAAACTTTAGACTAATCTTTCAAATTCAAAATAAAAACAGTAGATACTTACTTAACCACTACACGAAGAAAAAACACTGAAGCCGGTATAAATGAAAAATCAATCGCATATTTATACGTACCTATTAAATACTAAGATACTTAGTTATAACCATAACGCATATTTTTTTCTGAAAGGATACCAAAGGATATAACACAATGTAGCCTTCTAATATTTTATAATAATGTAGA